CGTATCTGGCTACTCGATGAATACTACTTGTTAAAAAATTAAAGAAAGTAATATTGCTGGTGCCAATTTTTTCATTTTTCATCGCTTCTAGTTCTCTACTTTCCTGACTACTGCCATCATTCTCCTCTACATCCGACTCATCATCCGAATCAGAGTCACTTTCATCCTCAATATCAGAGCTGATTTCATAATCTTCATCATATTCATCATCGTCATCTTTGGCTTGTATCTTCTTGAAATATTTAAGAGCTCGTCTGACCTCTTTATCAATATAAAAACCAGCAGCTTCTAGCTTTCGAATATGTTGTCTATAAATTGCAACGATATTTGAGCATTCATTAACATGAGAAGAAAATTCCTCATACCGTGAGTTGGTGTCATCATCATACCAATTTCTGTTCCAACTATTCCTTCGATAACCCATTTCATCACAATCACAATCAGAACTACCACAATCTTCACATGGGGAGTTGTAATTGTCTGAGCTGAAAAATTTAAACATTCGAAGTAAAGCTATCTTGCCTCGATAAGTTGTGCTCATATCCGCGCCATAGTTTAATAAAATCTTTACTTGATCAGCTCGTTTATTTTCTGTAGCAATGTAAAGAGGTGTTTTTCCATCTCTAGATTTATAATCCGTGTTGGCACCGAATTTCAGCAATACTTCGAATAGTTCTTTAGATAAATAAAGATCCATCACTTTATGAAGAGCAGTTAATCCATTGTCATCAATAAAATTAACATCTGCGCCATAAATCAATAAATTATGAACAATAGTTTTACGGCTCCTCATCAAAGCTAAGTGAAGTACTGGTTTGTTTTGGTAACCAGTATAATTAACATCAGCGTTAAACTGAAGAAGAGTATTAGTAAGTTCTTCATTTCCGTCTAGTATTGCTATCAATAGAGGTGTTTTACCATCTGCGTCTTTGCAGTTAACATCAGCATTTTTAGACAACAAACTTATTACGCTTTCTAATTGATCATTTTCAACAGCAATGTGAAGAGCATTTTTACCTTGTGAATCTGTGAAATGAACATCAGCGCCATAATCTATTAAACATTCAACCAAAGCCGGATTTTTTTTAGCGGCAATCAAGAGCGGAGTTAATCCGTTTTGATTAAAACAATTAATGTCTTTGCAGTGTTTCATAAGTAGTTTTATGATTTTTGTATCAGTATCACGCTCAACAGCAATGTGCAGACAAGTATCACCAGATTCATTAGGTATATCAACGTTGGCATCGAAATTTATCAAAAGTTCAACGATTTCAGCATGTTTAGATGCAACAGCTAAATGCAGCGGAGTCGAACCGCTTATATCAAATGCATTTACATCTGCATTGTGATCTAGTAAAATAGAGACGCATTCTAAAGATCCATATTTAGCTGCATAATGCAAAGGCGTACAATTAAACCGATCGACAGCATTCACATCAGGTTCGCATTCTAGAATATTTTCAATAATATTTATATCTCCAGCTTCAGCAGCAAAATGCAACGCAGTCACACCATGTACATCTGTAGCTCTGACATCTGCATTTCTACTCAACAAGCTGTCAAAAATAGTCAAATTTTTTACCTGTGCTGCCAAGTGTAATGGCGTAGTACCCTTTGAGTTTGCTACGTTTACTTTAGCGTCGTATTCTAGAAGAGCTTTCACGGTTATCTCGTTGTTATTTTGAACAGCCATGTGAAGAGCTGTTTCACCTGTCTTGAGTTTTGTATTAACATCAGCACCTCTTTTCAATAGAATTGAAACAACAGACAATTCAAAATTAAATGGAGATGCATCCTCAAGTGACTGTGGAGACTGGTCAATTACTGCCGAGTGTAATGCTGTTTTTCCAAGTTGATCATGCCCAGTAATGTCAGCACCGTAATTTAGTAAAAGTGAAACTATTTCAATGTGCTGCTTATTAGCAGCTATATTGAGTAAATCCGGGTCATCCTTGATGTAAGCTTCATTAATTAGCAGCAATCTAATTATTTCAACATCAAGATTTCTTACAGCGTAAAATATTGCCATTTTTCCTTTGTTGTCTTTAAGATTCAACTCTATGCCATGTAATATCAATAATTCAACAATTTTAAATTGTTTATGGTAGCAAGCAGTGTGGAGAAGAGTAAATCCACTATTAATTTCTCGAAATGTTGGTAAATTAATAAGTGCACCCATCATCAAAAGATCGCTCACTAATTTAACATGTCCTTTAGTTATTATAGTATGAAAGAGTTTAGAGTCATTGATGGACTCAAGGTCAAGTTCAAAGTCATGTTCAAGCAGAAGCTGTTCAATTTTTTCATTTGTTGACAATATAGCAAATCTAAGGCAGTTATTGTTGGCTTTTTTATTAACAGAGCTATGTTTAAGTAAACAATCAACGATAGATGACACACCGGATTTAACTGCGGTGTAAAATAATGTTTGACCATTATTGAGAGTCACATTTGTTTTGGCACCATTTCTTACAAGCATACAAAATGTTTTAGCTCGAAGCGAGGAGACAGCAGCTTGAATTGGTGTCGAGCCGTCTTTAGCACTTGTATTGACGTAGGCACCTTTGGAGATCAGTAGCTCAACTATTTTCTCGTAGCCTAATTCAACTGCTACGTGAAGAGGAGTTTTTCCATGTGTGTTTTTGAAGTTGATATGGGATCCTTTGGTCAGTACCAACTGCACCAGTTCGAGATCTCCACACTTAATAGCCAAGTGAAGAATTGTATCGCAAGCTCTTCCATGAGGACTATTTACCTTTACACCAGCGGCTATGAGTGTCCTTGCTTCCCCGGTTTTTTTTCTTTGCAAAATACGACGCAGGTCATAGTAGGTCTGGACGTTATTAGCTGATTGATTGGACTTGGACGTAAAAAAATAACCTGACATAATGTCAACTGAAAAAAATCATCGGTGCATGTAAAGTTAGATTTAATCATTTTTTTTTTTTTTTTATTTTAATTAATTTTTACCTTTTTTATGTCGGTTAATGTTTTTAAACTTTTATTCCACTAAATAGGAATTTTTGTTTTAAACATTCATACAACCACTTGACAAAACAATTTTCGTATATAGCTTTCTTTTTTTTTTTTTATATGTGAAGCTGTATATTCTTGAACGTTGATCAAAAACAAAGAGTTCTAAAGTTAAATTTTCATGAAGAGGCGGAAGCTACATGTGAAAGGGACCTGTTTTGGTCAAATTCCTAAAATTCCTCCGCTTGAGAGCAGCATAATAGTGCGAGTAATACAAATTATATTTTCAAATACATTTTTTCCAAGTAAAAATTAAAAAGATATAAACAATTTGTTTTAAAGTTATTTAGGAGAAAAAAGAATGAAAATTAATTTAAACGACATCTAAAAATTTTTAGAATTTTTATTATTACAAAATAACTTAAAAAAATTTTTATTTGTAAAAAATCTTGAAAAACTATAAGTGCAATTTCTAAAAAATTATTTTTTAGTTATTATTTAATAAATAAAAAAATTTCAAAAAATTAAAAACGTCGGCTTACTTCAGTATTATAAAAAAGAAGAAAATTTCAAGTGTGTCCTGATCAAAAAATGTAATTTTAAATTATATGAATTTTCTTTTTTTTCAGTCACACTATACTTTTCGGTAAGGTTTATTTGTAATGTCCATCTAAACTTTAAAGTGTACTTCAAATTTTTTTGAACAAGTAGATTTTCAAGATTAATAAAAAACTTGCTGTGAAAAAAACTCAAGTAGATATTAATGTACTTAGCTATGTTACTGAAGTTGCGACAGACAATAGAAATTTTTTTATAATTTTATAGCAATGAAATGATTATGAAAAAAATTTTACAAAAAATTTCATCATACTGAAGTTAGCCGTTACAATTACAATAAAAAAAAGCTTATAAAAATTTTCACTTGTAATTTTTATTAATTTTCACACATGAAACTGTTTAATTAATTTTTTTAAATAATAATTTAATTGCTATAAAATTCTAAAAAAATTTTTTATATTTATTATCAACTTCAGTGTCATATAAAATTTCACGTATGATAATTAAAAAAAAAAGAAAGAAAAATTCTTATTATTCTAATTGATCTGTTATAAAAATTAAAAAATTGACAGTTATCAGCTAACTAATGGAATAATTATTATAATTATTATAGTCAGAAACTTGATTTCTGAAGAAAATTTTTTATTATAGTAATTAACGTATTTAAAAAACTCAAAAAGCTATAAGATGTCTGTCAATGTCAGTGTGTCATTAATTATTAAATGACACAAAAAATAAAATTTTATTTAGAAAATATTACAGTAATTTATAAAATAGTAAGATATATATTATTTATTTTTAATTAAATTTTATACAGTAGTTTTATTAAAATAATTAGGGAAAATAAAGTTAGCCGATATTTAAGAATTTTTAGAATTTTTTTTTATTAAAAAAATGATTACAAAAAAATAGTAAAAAATAATTTCATTTGTAAAAAACTTTAAAAACTGCAAGTGCAATTTTTAAAAAATATTTTTTTTGTTCTAATTTAATTATTAAAAAAAAATCAAAAAATTCAAAACGTCGGCTAACTTTACTTTTATAAATAATTATTATACTTTTAAAAGTTTAGAAAAATAAAATTATTCTTTTAATTTCAGATCATTTATTATTGTGGATTATTAATTATTAATACAAAATATTTTACTATATATATATATATATATATATATATATATACATTACATATATGCAAACATACATACTTGCTTATGACACGAGTACTTGAATAATTATCATATACTTATATGTACTAATTTAGACGCATGCGCATATATCGAAGACTGTACACAACTTAGCTCTTCTCCAATTTACAAGGCAGACTGACGTGAAATATATACATGTTGGATTGTATATAAAAGTAAATAGCAATTGTTTACAATTTCCAAAATACCAGTCAAATGTATTTAGTTTATTTTCAAGTTTAATAATTAAATTCAAGAGGACTCGTGTAATATAAAGTTCAAGCTATGGCAGAGCGTGGTGTTTATTTAACTCATACGACTTATGTAAAACCGACAATATTTGAGATAGTTGCCCAGGAATCACTCTCATTGACTTTAGAGCAAGTATTTAATAAATTTTATTCATTTTTAGTAACAAGTAATCCAGATAAATATGGATGGCTCCATCAATGGTCCGATGAAGCTTTTTTACTGTGTAATGGAGTAGTTCAATATTTTTATTTAAAAAATTATTCAGCATCCTTTGCTGAAACATTTTATGGATTAAAAAGAATTGCAACTAACAATTCACACATTGAAAGTGAGTTATCAAGAAATAAAAAAATTTTACATCTTATCATCCTAATTGTTAACCCTTACATAAAGTCAAAATTCCAACAGCACAAATTGGATATTGTTGATGGAAAAATTCCGAATGAAAAATGGAAAAAATTATTGAAGATTTATTTTGTAAAAATATACAAAATTATTCATTTTATGTACAGTATTGCTGAAACATATTACTACTTACGATATCTAATAGATGACCTGAAGAGTCCGACTCCGTTATTCCATTTACTGTCATCAACATTGACTTACTCTGACCCATTTAAAGCTACTTCTTTAAGAGAACTATTTAATAAATGGAAGGTTAATAAAAGTGCTAGCGAAGGTGTTGAATTACTGCAAAGAGGATTCATGACAACTCTTGAGCTGGGTGCGTTTTTACTTCAATTCGTCAACTGGTGGAATCTAGAAAATTATCACACTAATCTTACATCATTACCTGTACCTACATCGCCTTCAAATCGAATTCCTATGCAGTCCAGAGGAATATGTCCAGTTTGTTTAAAAACTTTGAATAATCCAATTGCACTCTCTGTGTCAGGATACGTATTTTGCTATCAGTGTATTTTGCCTATAATACTGAGTGATAACAGATGTCCAGTCACTCATTATCCTGCGAAAGAAGACGACATAATTAGAATTTACAAAAATTAACAAGTTTATTATTATATTTAAACTTTAGATTTAACCTGTAAAAATATTTTGTAAAATAAGTGTATTTTTTATAACAAAATACAATTTTTATATAAATTTTTTTTTCTTCTGAATTGAAGTAGAATTTTTTACATTTTTATTAAGTATTTATTGTACATCTTAGAGATATTCAGAAATAAAATCCTTTAAATTAAATCTAGTTTGTGAAAATTAATTTATATTTTCTGTAGTAATTAAATTTTTTTTTTCATAAAAATAATATAAAATTCATATGATATTGAAATTAAGAGACATCTAATAATTTTAAGAATTTTTTTAACATATAAATTATACCAAGAAAAATTTATTAGGAAAATTCCATATTTAAAAGCTTAAAAAATTATAAATGCGATTATCTAAAAATAATTTTCTCTACCTAGTTTGTTTTTCAAGAAAAATCAAAAAATTGTCAAGTGTTTGATAGTTTCAGTGTTGTAAATTTTTATAAAAATTGTATTAAAGTAACTTAATAAATTTGTAAGTGTTTAAAAAAATAAATTCCTTACAATGATAAAAACTACTTCAATAAAATTATAATTTTACATAATTTCAAAAAAATTGACATTAAATAATTATATAAGTCAATGTAAATAATTGCAACAATAAATTGATTGATCTCCAAAAAATTTTTTAAATATTTCAAAGATAAGTTTTTAAAATCAATTTTGTGATATTACTAAAGTTAGCCGACGTTTTTAATTTTTTTTTTTTAATATTAAAAATTAAATTAAAACAAAAAAATATTTTTTAAAAATTGCACTTATTGCCAAATGTTTTGACTCCATTTTAACGTAGTTTACTTGAGAATTTTTTGTGATTTTTAAATATTACTTTCTCAATAAATATCTCGGTAACTGATCTATTTTATTGCAAAAAAAGAAACCTGAATATTTTGAAAATCTAATTTTTAGTTTTTTTTTTTTTACTTCATCTAATCCATGGGTGATAGTATAATTCGAGAAATACTGCAAACGTTTGACTTTCTCGTAAGACTCTGAACAAATACTAATATTTAAAAATTTTATTTTTTCAAAAATTTGTCCGGTATTAAAGTATAATTTAAACCTCACTATTAGATAAATAAGGACTTCAACTATTAGAAAAAAATTTAATTTACTCATAATCTAATATTTTTTATTTTACATTGGCGGCGAAAGGACCTCCTTAAACGTGGTTAAGGTTATATTGTGCAAATGAAAATGTAAACAATCGAAGTACAGCGTTGCCAAATCACGGACAGATTACTTGCAGCTGTTTTGAAAGAGTCAAATTAATTTTTGTTATTTAACTATTTTTTTTTTTTTATTTTTAAAATTTCAACGATTAATGCCTCATATACTATTTATTATTTAATTTTAGGAATTTTTATGGGCTTCTTTTTTTAATTTATCGTATATTGACTACTACAATTGTTTTGACTCAACTGGAGCGAAAGGATTTCCTTAAAAAATTAGAAATTAAAACTCTAACTTAAGTTACACTTTTTAAAAAATAATTTTTCTTCAAGTTATTCCTACAGTCGATAAAGTTCGAGTCTAAAACTGAGCTTACGCCATCTAGATTCAAATAAACAAACTCACAACCAAACTCACAACGTGACGTGTCGTTTTTCATAAAAAATTCGGCACCCCCCCCCCTCGTGAGTATCTCATTTCATCAAACACACGCACACATACTCATGCAATGTGACTATCCATGTGTGCAAGACAAATCCACAAATGTCAGCCAGTAGCGTCGGACTTTAACTCACGCACGTAAGCATCTGTATGTGTAAGTGAAGCCGTAGTAAACCGACTGTAGTAGTAGATTCACGTAAAGTGCGTAGAGTCCTGTATAGTCGTGTATAGTATGGTGTATATATGAGTCGTGTGTACTGCCGATTAATAAAAATGTATTTTTTTCAATTAAAAAACTAATTTTGAATTTTTAAATTTTTGTAAATGTTGAGCGTTTACAATTAATAAAATATTTATTGATTGACCGCAGTGCATTTTTAACAATATAGTAAGTATATGACTCATTTATCCCGTTATAACCACATTTTTTTCACCTCATGGTATCTTTAGTTAATACTTAATTACTGTTATCAATGTGTATATTTTTTTTAGCGAAAAAATATTTTTTTATGTTACGATCTGTCAGACAAACACTAGACGAAAAAATTGGCAATAGTTTGTGTGGGTTTGTCTTATAAGATCTAGTCTGGGTTAAAATGCCGTAAGTGCCTTTGTGTTAAATTTCAATGCGTAGGTGTATGGGGAGAAAAAGCCTATCTGTTTGTACAGATTACCTATATCACTTACACCTACGTATGTGTACGTGTGCTGTGCAGGGGGTGATAAGCAATCGTTTTCAACCTGTAGCATTACTGTATTACTATATTTGACAATCCATGGCCACTTGTTGAATTTACATTTAATCTTTTGGCAATACAGAAATTAACAAATATTCGGCATATTTTTATGGTACTGATAAGTAGCAGCAGACATCTGATAATTATTTACTTTTTTGATATATTTATTTTGAAAAAATCAAACTTTCGAATGCCTGATTTTTATTCTTAATATTATAATTTTTTTTTTTTTTCTAGTAAAGAGGGAATATTAATACAAAAAAAAAAATTATAGCAAAATTAATTTAAAATCATTTTATTGAATTAGAATTAAAAATAACATTTTTTTATTAAATTATTTGTCCAAGTACTTATTGGTTTGTTGATATTAAAAATTAATTTGAATTTCAAACCAATATAAATAATAACTAACATTAATATGAGCAGTAATAAACAAACTTTGAATACCGCTCATATTTGTTTACATTAAACTAAAAAAAAAATATTCATGAATTTTTATACTAACAATATACTAAAATTTACTAGCAAATAATTTTTAAAAATTACTAAAAAAGTTTCGAATAATTTTATTAGCCAACAGTAAAAACCTGATTTAATTTCATTTTTTTCTATGTAGGAGATTTTGATTTGAAGAGAATGACCGTAAAACGGGAGGAAGGGGGATAAATACTTAAGGGTACAGCGTAAGAGTCATAGTAAAATAGTGAGAAAAGAAAACCCAAATCGAAGAACTCGAGGGCGTGACCCCCCTGTCTCGGCCCGAGATTTAATATTTAAGTTCAACATTCTACTCTGGGAAACAAGTTTTCAACCGCTGGGAAATCTTTTTCATTTATCGAAAGTAAAAAAGATGGGCCTTGATAAAAAAAAAAAAAAGTAAATTCATGTCCCCATTTACGACACTGATATTTTCCATATGTTAAGAATTAGTACGCGTGTTTCTATAATATTTTTTATTATTTACTTAATATTGAAATTCAATTTTTAATTGCTCACTTGAATGGAAGAATGATAAGATTAAAAAAAAAAATTTTTTTTTTCAGATACAATTCGTGTGTTCAAAAAGATAAATAATTTGGAGGAATTACGTATTCAATCACCTACAAAAACGGAGTTTTGAATTCAAGAAATAAAAATGTTACGTACCGAAAGTTTTGACGATAGATTATCAAACTCACCAGATGAAGAGGGTTATGATTTTTATCCCATAAAATCTGGACAAGGATATTACCTTAAATTTACACCACCGTCAGATGCAAAATTATGTTCACGTCTTTACCCGTCGCGTCTATTGAGCAGATCACTGCCACGACGCAACCGTAGTTTAGTAAATTTCAAAATAAATCGTTCGTTACAATTCGACAGCAGCATTAATCCGCAGGAGCCACGTCGTAAAAGTGACAGTTTTTTATCTCCAAAATCCGTCGGACACTCACCAATAAATAGGAATTTACCATTAAGTCGTTCAGCTAAAATATTGAAATCATTAAACATTGAATACAGCCCGGTGATGAATAATGAATACAAGAAAATAAATAAAACATTGAAATTTGATTTGTCACCAAGTTCCAGTAGATTTAAATCGCCAATACCTTCAACTGCGTCTAATAGTCGTTGTAAATTATTATCCAACTCAAGTATAAAATCATCCGGTATTAATAAATCATTAAATTTTGACAGCTGTGATGATTCTCCGGTGGCAAGTGCACATGAAACATCAATAGAATCTATGGACGAGAACCAAAACCAAACACCGTCTTCACAGAAAAGCAGAAAGATAAAGAAGACTTTGAGTTACTTGTCATTAAGTTCAAGTGGCAGCGGTACGTCATCGTCATTTGAATTTAATTTGCTGTCGTCGCCAGGTCTAAGAACAGAATTACGTGAAAAAATAGATGATATTGTGGTAACAAGTATGATGTCAACGCCACAATCTAAATTATTGTCTGGTCATAAACAATTAATCAATGATGATGAAATTGCTGTTAGTACTCCAAGGAATTTGTATAAAGATTTTACAGATGATGAGATTGATACTGATAAAGGTAATGATGACAATGATGATGAAGAGCGACCGGAGACACCAGTGAATGTTATACGACTGATTCCAGAGAGTATGAGTGCTATTAAGAAAAGCCATCGTAAGGTGAAAATATTTTTATTTTTTAATAAAATTGAAGAATTAAGTTTTTTTATTTATTAACTTGAAATTAAATTATTGAATTTTTTTTTATATTCACAGGAACGCTTCACAGGACGTTTTATGAATCGTATTAGCCAAAATTCGGCGGAAGAACCTCTAGAAATGGACGTTGACTCAGAAGAACGGGCTACGACGCCTTTAACAAGTGACGTCCAGAAGAGTCCAAATTTTAGCATTCATTCAATTAAAAAATCTCATAAAAAAGATATAAGTAAGAAAAAATTGTGCGTTAATCACTCTGAAGATGAATTGTCAGACGATGGATCTCTCTTTGACTACTCGAGCATCGAAGAAGAAAAAGTCAAAACTAACTCACCGGGAAGCAAGGCTCTTCCAGAAGTCAACGAAGAAGTAAAGTTTCAAACACCTCCTAAAACCAGACAAAATGAAACCCAACCATCTACTCCAGCGACGCCGAAAGCAGGCACTTCAACTGTGATGACTCCAGAAAATCGTATTGACTATTTAAAAAGGATAATGACTGATTCTATTAAAAAATCACACAAAAAACTTAAGGATTCAAATAAAAAGACGTTATTTAAATCACGTTTGACTGAAAGACAACAAGAAATCGCTTCTATACGGACAAACGGATTGAATTTAAATGAATCCCCTGAACCAGAAATAAATTCTTCAAAATCTCCCAATACTGATGCTGAACTCCGTGCTGGTACGCCAGAAAATATTAATTCAAGTAGAATTTTACTATCTAAATTCAGTTCTGTTAAAAAATCACACAGAAAAGATAAGCACCGTAAAATTGGATTTGCACAGCGTCATATTATGATGAATGACAGCATTGAAAGCTCAAGTCCTGAAATGGAACTTTGTAAATCTCCCAGTAAACGTTTATTCAATATTCCCCGGATAGATATTACAGCAGCCAGTACTTCTTCAAAGTCTTCCAATGATTCAACGTCAATCCACCATGACAATAATCGTTACCAGAGTCTCAATCAGTCAGTATTAGACTCTGAAGACGGAGATTTTAAATTGATCTCATCGCCAAATAAACGCAAGAGCCCGAATGTCACCAACAGCACATCTATTGAAGAATCAAACAACGAATTAAAGTCGATAGACGATCAGTGTGCAGAAGAAGAGGAGTTTAAAATATTTACGCCAATTAAAAAAAGAAAGTCTATCGGTAAATTTAAGAAGAATAACGCTAATGAGTGTGTATTTTCTACACCAAAAAAGCCAGTTGATGATCTGTGTAGCGATAGATGTGAAACTCCTAGATTAGGTATCAATATTTTATTACCTGGGCTTGGTAATGCCGTAGAAAAAAATAAAAATTATAATAATAGTAATAACAATATTGAAAATATAAAAAGAGATGACGCAATTTGTGAGGGGGCGCAGAGTGATGGTGATACGAGTGGTAGGCAGACACCGGATAATTTAAACCGTATTAAAATGATTTCATCTTTGAGCTCGATTAAAAAATCACATCGAAAGGATAAGTGGGCGAAAGTACGCACGCGTGAGTCGTCACGTTTATTAGTTAAGAAAAATAATAATAGTCTTAATGTTAAAGATGATTTCGAAGATCTCAGTATGGTTAATAACACGAGCTGGCGTTCAACTAATCTTACCTACGACTCCAGTTCTGACGGTATGGAAAAAAATGAATCATCGGAGGAGCCAACAAGTCCTAAACCCTCAACTTCCTCGATAAATAATCATACGGCTGCTGGTAGCAATGCAGAGCCAGTAGCTACTCCGCCTAATTGCTTACAAGTAAAGAAGTATTTAATGCTGGTACAGAATACTTCAATAAAGAAATCTCGTAAGAAAATGCGGGAAAAGAAGAAGCACGACTCGATTATCGTTGCTGATAATGATCAAGATGATGGTAATTTGTCTGATGGTTCTATTTTTGATGGAGAACAAAAGAAAAGCGATTATGAAAGTTCAGGGCTGATGGAAGATGATGATGATGATGATGATGATAATGATTTCAAACCCTTAGATGGTGATAATTATGATCGTAGTAATAAGGTATTATTTATTTATATTATTTTTTTATTTGCTTAAAAGATTATGTCAACATTTTGTTATTTATTAAATTTTTTTACTGCAGGTATTATCAAAGAGTACTTATTCAAAATCTCTTAACAGCAATCGATCAAATGATGGCTCTATTTTTGGATCTGACGATGAAACAAATAGTCCAAGTAAATAATAATTTTTAATGAAAAAAATAGGAAATTGATTTATTAATTAATTTAATTTTTTGTCAATTTTTTTTATTGTAATTTTTCAATCGATGAGCGGTAAGCTTATTTTTTAAAACAATAACAATAAATTATTAAGTAATAAATTAAATACCGTTGTGATTAAATGGTTAATAAATCAAATCGAAGTTTCTATTTTGGTTGAAAGGAATATTATCGATAGTTGAAAATATTCAATCGAAGAGTAAATTCATTAAAAATATTAGTAAAAACGGTTAGCTGTTCCATTATAAATACTGACAAAAAGTGCCTTTAATATTCATTAAACTTCGTAAATTACTAAAGTTTTCTTAAAAAAATGTTTTTTTTAATTGTTTTTATTACATTTCTCATTTTCATTACTCAATAATTTGTTCTCAATTAATATGTAAGTTGTAATATTTTATTTGTAACTTGTCTCAGTGCTAGTGTAATTGTGATATGTATATAATGTTCTTCGAAAAAACGACTTCAAAATCATAAAAAAAAAAAAAATGAATGAAAAAAAAAAAAAATTACAACACAATTACAAATAACAAAAAATATCTCATATTAGTTTAAATAATTAATTTGTATTTTATAAGAATAAAATTTAATTTTTGTGGGTATTAATTGGATTGGTACATAATTATTGTTATAAGAGCTTTAAGAAATAAAATAAAATTATATTGAATATATTATCTTTAATGTTTTAAAATTTTCGTCACTTAATATTTTTAATTGATTATTATAAACATTTTGTTCTTGTAACAATAAATATTGAATATGTTGATATATATTTGTATTTATTTTTTTTAATCCTGATCCTTTACTCAATATTGACTTTTTTTTATTTAGAAATAAAATTGATTCAATTGAAAGATATTAAATATATTATGACACTTAAATTAATAGACGACAATTTTTTTAATTTTTCTTTAACAGTAAACTAGGTCAAAAAAAGTGTTTTAAAAAATTTCATTTATAATATTTTGAAGATGGAATCCTCAAAACAAAATTTTCATGCTATGATTTATTTCTAAAAAAAATTACAAAAATCTTAATTTTATTATAATCATATATTTTATCTTGTGAAGTAAAATATTTTGTTATCAAAGACAATATATTGAAATTTTTACAGAAATATAAAAAAAATTAAATTCAACAAAATATTTTAAATGTTAAGCTTTAAAAAAAATTATAATTTAAAAATTAGCTGACGTTCAACAATTTTTGATTTATTTCATCAATTAAATTACAAGTAAAAAAATACTTAAACAAAATTACAATAATTTTTCAAATCTTTTACATGTGAAATTATAAAAATTTTTGGTTTTCAGCTAATTTAGTTTCCATAAAAAATAAATTTTTCTTAAATATTTCAAATGTAAAGCTTAAGAAAAAAAAAAAAAAATTCTCCAGATGTCTCTTACTGTCAATTCGATCACCATTTTTATTCATGAAAACTGTAAAATATGGGATATGTATTAGATTTAGAGCCCCTGATTTGGATACAAGGTTATATCCAGTATACAACCACCAACCACGTGTTTGCCTCCGAATACCCTGAAAATTGTCTATAGATTGTTGTTAATAATAATATTTTATAAATAAACAAAAAAAATAATTAATACGTGGTATTATTAAAACCAATTGATATTTTATTTAGTGATTAAATATATATAGACGCATATATAACAATAAACGTAAGCAATAATGGCAGTGAAAACCCCTCAACAGAAAAAAAGTCTTGTAATAGCGCAAGAAATAAAATTTGCGCGAATACTTGCGGGTAATAACAAAAATGCACGTGCTAAGAAGCTTAAAAAATTACGAACATGGTTGACATTACGTTCCAGGAGTACTATTGGTATGTATTGTATTATATTAAATAATTATTAAATTTTTAATAAATAATTAATTGATGAATTATAATTGCAGCATTCACAGAATCAGATTTTATGAGAATATGGAAGGGTCTTTATTATTGCATGTGGATGTCCGACAAACCTCTGGTCCAAGAAGAACTAGCGGAATCAATTAGCCAATTAATATTTTGTTTTGACTCTAAAGATGTAGCTATGCTGTACACAAAGTGTGCGTTAAATACTCTAAATATTGAATGGTTTGGTATTGACCAATACAGATTAGATAAATTTGAAATGTTGGCCAGAAGGATAATCCGTCAGACCTTTGCAATGTGCAAAAGACATTCTTGGAATGAACAATGGGTCAAAGGTTTCGCTGATATCATTGACTTTTTATTATTTGATCCAAAAGGATCGTTGGGTTTTAGATTTCATATTATTGAAATTTTTATGGAAGAATTGGCGAAAGTAAGCTTATTAACTCGATATTTATTTTATTCAATAATATGAATCAATTATTTTATTTACGTGATAATTTATTTTAGGTAAGCGAAGGTAATATACCTGAAGATATAGTTACTGACTTGCTGAGGCCATTCGCTAAATATTTAGGATCATTACGTGACGAAAGAGAAATTAGACATGTGACTAAACATATATTTAGATATTTAATTTTCCAATCTGACGTTGGAATGGAGTACATGGAAAAATTCGACGCATGGAGAAAGGTTAATTTTTAATTATTACCTTTAAGGGGACCCGGTGGTCTAGCGGCCTAAAATTTAAGTTATTTTACAAAATTTTATTTCTATATGAAATGTAATGACTAATGCTTTCAAAGGTTTTTTTTTACACTTGTTCTATTACTTATCAACTACACAAAAATGAAAATTAAGACAAAAAAAAAATTTTTTTTTTAATTAGAAAAATGGCGCTGAAGTCCCTCTCTCCAAAAAATACACCTGACTGATGCGTGGTGATTTATTCCTCCCTCTAATCTGAAATAAAAAATAATGACGGATTTTTAGGTAGTATAAGATTAATCATTACCCTTCGGCGACCTTCTGTTCTTTCTCATGCAAAAATTTCTCGCGACAAAAATTCTCAGCAATAATTTCTTGTACAATATTTTCTTAAAGGCTTTATTTCTCATTGTCAAAATTTATTCGGTATTATTTTTTTAAACACAAAAAAACTATGATAAAAGGGTACAACACGGGAAAGAAATTTTTATCGCGAGAAATTATTACGGATTAATGAAGACACGGAGTCATTACTTTCATATCGAAATAAATTTTTTTTAGGAGCTTAAATTTTAGGCCGCTAGATCACCGGGTCCCCTTAATCATTCACTCATTCAATAGATATTAATAATACTAAAGTTAACCGGCGTTTTTTATTTTTTTTTAATAATCAAATTAGAGTAAAAAAATATTTCTTTAAAATTGCACTTGCAGTTTTTCGTTTTTTACAAATGAAAATTTTTTTTATTTTTTTGTAATAATTTTTTTTTATAGAAAAAATTGTTACAAAAAAAAAAAATAAAAAATTTCATTCGCAAAAAACTTTAAAAGCTATAAGTGCAATTTTAAAAAAATACTTTTTAGTTCTTATTTAATAAATGAAAATAAATCAAAAAATTAAAAATGTCGGCTAACTTTAGTATTATCTTAATTTTCATGTATTAATAAGATTTGTTGAAATAATTAGGCTGGTTACCCCACGGGTAGTATTGATGCAATGACTAAGGTCGAAGTTGACGATCAAGATGAAAATGAAAACGAAGAAGATCAGAATGAAGATGAAGATGATGATGATGATAACGAAGAAGAAACAAACTCGGGAGAAAACCCTTTGGATCCAAGAGCAGGCCGTGTAGATGTTGAATTACCACAAGTGCCTTTTGATGCCACGCAAGTTGTTGAATTATTACAGCAGTACAAACGCCTACCTTCTTCGATAGCAAAAACACGCCGGTTGGTCAAGAAGTTAATTGAAGAGTTTACCAACTTGTCGCAGGGTGAAATGCCTATTGGTGTTAAAACCGTCGAGGTTTTCAAGAAAAAACCCAAAGACATCAATCCATCTAAAGCTGCTGCAAGATTTTTGGCTTTTGAAGATAAACTTTATTCTGATTCAAAGTTAAGACGGTTGAAGAAGAAGAAAAGGAAGCGAGCGTTGGAAATGGAGACCAATGGTATAGTTGATAATGCACAGAATAATGAAGATGAAGAGGAAGAAGTGGCTGTGGAAAAACCTAAATTAAAGAAACAGAAAATCGATACAGATGAAGATGAAGTAACTGCTAAAAGTCCAGAAAAGGCATTGAAAAAAAAGAAAACGAAGCAAATTGAGGAATTGAGTAATGGAGATTTTACCGATAAATCAAAATTAAAAAAATCCATTCAAAGTAAATCTGAGATAAAAAGTAAGAAAGTAAAGACAAACAAATTGAAGAGTAGACGAAATAGTATATTAAGTCAAATGTACGATGAAATTGAAGATTTTTCTGATTTCAAAGCTGGATTGCAATCTAAAAACAAAAAACAGATAAAATATGATCTTGATAACAGTTGGGATGTATCAATTAACGACTATCCGTCTACTCCAACGTCTCCTGTCATTCCACCCGCAGATTTGGCGTCTTCTACTACTCCATCTCCTCCATCGACTCCTAAAAATTGCTTGCTTGACAAGGTTGTAAGTGTTCCAATTCTTTCGACGCCACAATTTCCAGCATTAAAGAAAATTAAAATTCAAGTAAGTAATTGGTTGTTAGAAAAATTTTTTTTCTGTTTTAATTCTGTTTTTTATAATTTTAATTTTTTTTTTAGGAAAATGTTCGTGTCGAAGCTACAATAACTAATGATCCTGGATCGAGTTTAAAGAAACGAGTTAAAATAGTATTAGACCGTAATACTGCTCAGAATACATCTGAGTACATAAAGCAATTACGTTCAAGTCCAGCGATTCCTTTTGACGCCAGCAGAAAACCCCTTGTTGGTGTTCTTAAACCCAGCCCAATATCGAGTCCAATAAATCCATTCTACAAAAAATTAATGTAGAAAATATCTAATTATAATTAAAATTAATAATGGATATTTTTTTCTTTTAAATTTGATACATTAAATAAATAAAAATGATGATAAAAATTGTAAATTTATTTTTTGTTTTAATTAAATTTGTGAGTTAAAAAATAAATAAAAATCTTTTAGACTGTCTTTAAGACTGAATATATTTTTTAATTTACAAGGATATACACACAACTATTTTTTTTTTTTTTCTAAAAATTTATACATAGAAGGTACACAAAAAAATTTACAGACGAAATTTTCTAATGATGATTTGTAAACTCTTCAAAGACATAATTTATTTTTCTTTTCGGTTTATTACTTAATAATAATGTAATTAATAAGTTAATTGATTCAATTAAACCACTTGTTGGTTTTAGTCAATTATTATTTACAATAAATATAATAGTAATATTTAAAATTAAATCTCGAAGTGAAATCTTCGAAAGAAGATATTTTTTCCATTGAGATTGTTATCATAATATTTTGGCACGTGAATTCACTTGATTTATTACGCAATACGTAATATACTTTAAGACATTGAGAAAAATATATTCTTCTGACCCGATATATTTATATTCATTTTGTATTATTACAGTGATCACTAACTACTTAAAAAAATTATTTATTTTTATTTAATTAAATAATTTAAATCACCAAGATATTGCACTATATAACATGATAATTTAATTATTTAAAATTGATTTTAAAAAAACTGTCAGACAAGTTTTTAAAACTTTTAAATTCATTTGTTGTGTTTAATAGATTTAAATAAGTTATAAAATTTTTTAAATTCAAGTTAAAAAAGAAATGATTGTAACAGACTTTTTAGTTTCAATTATCTCTAGATAAATTACATTGACCTAAATATTTAAATAACTTTTTTTGCTTTTAATATTCGATTAAAATTAAGAAAAAAAAATAAATAATTAAACAAATAGAGTGAGCGTCTTAAATTTAATTGAAAATTAAAAGCAAAAAATTTACTCTATTTACATGAGTATCACAGTGCTAACAAACCGTATGGATTTTTTAAAAAAATACCATTTTATCTAACAGAGTTACAGGAAATTTTCATCTGGACAGCAATGAAATATTTTTCCACCTCCAGTACCAACCCATCTCCAGCTGGTTGAACCCCGTGCTGAATAAAGACAAGCCGACAAATAACAGCGCGTGTCCTAGAGTCCACAGCTGGAAGAAAGTCGACGTGACAATCATGATAATTGATACACCGGTCAACAAAGTCCAGAAACCAAAAGCGATGCTCAAAACAATGCCTTGGGGCATCGGCCAAACTTTATCTTCTTCAGAAAAACATTTATTCTTATAAAATTTCTTCAAAATTTGTTCTTTGAGCCGCCAACGCTCGTCCAACCAGTGTCTCAGGCCTTCCTCGTCGTCCGGAACTTGAGCAGAAGGAATTCTAGTCACGTAGAAATGAACTTCTTTTGGGATTTTACCGGTGACTAAATCAATTTCCGACTGTGGTACAAAGTCAGGATAACCGATAGTAAGATCATAGACGGCATCAAGATATCCAGCACGTTGAAGGTGTCTAGCCAGATAACTGAATCCAGTTGTTTTAGGATGTAAAGTATAGTCGTAAAGCGGTAGCCCATTTTTTTTAGCAAATCTGTCGGATCTTTGTTTGCTGGTGACTGTTAAATCCGTGCCCTCTGGAAATATCAAGAGTTGCGTGCGTCTTTTTAATGCTATCAAGTAGTCCAGCGTACGTGACAAGCGGCCTTTATCTTCTTCCCACCTCCGTGTTATATAAAGGAATCCATTCATCTGCATAATCCAACCTGGTATATAAATTTTAAATAAAATAAATTCTATTAATTTCAACCACTAAATAATTTAAAAGGCCATTCGGCAGCCGAAATGAAGGTAGATTTTTCGAATAAAGAAAATTGATTTTTAATAAAATAATATAAATACTAATAATGTATAACTTAATTCATGAATTAAAAACAAAATTCAATAATAAATTAAAAACTATTTAGAACAAATTTATGAAAAAAAAAATTATCTTGTGAAGAAAAAGTTTCTCAAATATTTATCAAACAATTGCAAAGATTATAAGATTTGAATTATAAACGTCCAAATTTTAAGTAACTGCTTAGGAACAACTTCCAAGTTAATCAGAATTTTGTTACCGGATAAAAGTTTAATTGAAGAAAACAATATTTAGAAATAATTTGTGATATATTTACTGACGACCTACCCGAAAGACTGATCAATATCGTAATTATTGAATTTACATCATGATTAAGCTATAATGCAGACAATAATTTTAAAACTGCTGCAACCGTAAAACTGTTGCATATTACCGAATTTCAATATGTTGTCTAGTTCAGTAATTATACCAAGTTGAAGTAGTAAAAACAGTAATTTTTAAATTACTCGCCCGATTAAGCTCATCTTAGAACTTAACCCTGGTCTTGATCGATAGATAAAGCATGTTGAGTTTGAGAAGAATCGGTTATTTATAAATTAAAAACGCTATCGTGCTGACAAGCCGCGTTATATCGTATAAATATAAATACATACATATATAAACTTTTGAACGAACTAGATTTTCTGACTCAGCTCGACAAACTGAGTCAGAAAATGGCTAAATTTTTTAAAAGTTACGCCATGAGGATGGCTGCAATAGTTAGATTTTTATAAAATCTACTAAAAATTTACCTGGTCCGGGTATATGACGTATCGGGTCCTTTAAAATAAACTTCAATTTATGAGCTGCAATGTTTGGCATACACGCCTGGTACATAGCTGCCCACAAAAAATTCCAGTCAACTCTTGTACGATGATTCATTACCAGTATTGCCGATTCATTTGGTAAAATGTGATCCCCAGATATTATTACCTTCACTCCGATCATCTCCAGCAGCGCCTGGAGCATTTTTTATTGAAATAATATATAAATTTAATTATAATTAATAATAAAAAATAATACATACTGTTGGATAAAGTTCCCAGCAGGAGAATAATAAATCCCCGCATTTTCTAAAAGTCGGAGGACTAAGAATCAGTATGGGCAGAAGAGGACATGCAATAAATAGGAAGCCTGCCGCTATGCTACCATACCAGAGGGCACAGTATAATATACCGTACGCCAGTTGACGCATCACAAATTATTTTTTGATGTCCTAAAAATAATAATAAATTAATGAGAAAAAAATACATGCCGATAATTTAAATAAAAATAATAAAATGATTAATGAGCGTAATGTTTTTGTTTTAAACATTAACTTACATGAACATCGACAGGGAAGAGACGTCCCACATTTCACAGATCAAAACCGTTGACTAAACTGAGTGATAAAATTAAAAACTCAAAAACTGTGGCTTCCCTCCAGAGTTATACACGGTAAGTACAAAAGTACAAGAGGGGCTTCTTCATGTCTACACACACCCACAACTATTTTAAAGCATCCCCTACTTTATACTCTGCCTCCCTTCCTATATCTGACGACCCTCAAACGTACACATACTCACCCTCCAAGCGGATTGCTAGACTCGAGAGAGAAAATCTCGTAGCAGGGATATTGGACCCTCGCTCTATGGACCGTTATTGATCTTTCTACACTATAATACTCATTGTATTATACTACACAAAAGACTTGTCGATACTTTTTTTTTTTTTATAAAATTTAAAAACTTAAAATAATAATAATTTTACAAAAACTGTCTTTATAATTAAATGGATTTATTTTTTAAAATATAAAAACAATTATTTTAAATTATCATTTAGACCAATTTATACCTTTACAATGTAGACCTTCGTAATTATTCTTATCAATTTAATTTACAATTACAAATGAAAATATTTATATAAAACATAATAGCACCACTTACAATTACACTAAAATTAAATCATTTTAATAATAACTATCAAATTTAATACTTAAAAAAATCTATCAATAAAGGCTTTGGATTCAACGATAAGTAACAAGTATATAGAATAATATTTTATTTATTAGGAATGTCAAATAATTAAAAAAATGGATTATCGTAGTCATGATTGTTAAATTATTACGTATAGAACGAATAAAATTATATAACACAGTGCTATTTGATTAAAATATCAACACTAAAATCACTCGATCGGAACTAGGTATCTCAAAGCCGTAGTTCAATCAATTTATTATTTAATTAATAATTGTTTGTTATTTATAAACTAGTATTGTATAGTAAAGTAGAAGGTAAAAGGTAAATGGTAAGTATATAATATATATCAACAGTAAGAAGAATATGTTGATATAAGATTAGGAGCTTTAGACTTCATCTTTTCTTCATTATTATTTCGTGGTGGAAGATCTTTCAATTCTTCAAGTAATTTCATAGCTTTCTTATAAGACTTTACTTTTAAATAAGCGTTGGCCAAGAAATATTTGTTCGGTATATCAGGCTCTTTAACATGATTCTCAGCATGTTCCAAGTGTTGGATTGCTTCTTCGTAAGTTGCTTTCGGTGTTTCTCCAAATAATGTCTCACAAACCTGTTTAATAAATAATTCAATAGATTAATTTATTTTTTTGTTTAAAAAAAAAAATTTTAATTATGGGGCATTCCATAGTAACTTGTGGGACATTTGACTCTGGAATTTTATCAATTATAAACTATAATTATGTGACTGAAATTTATACTATAGTAAAATTTATCTTATAATATAGAAGAATAACTAAATTAACAATATCCCTTTGTCAAAAACCTCGATTACTTCTTAAGTTTCTCGTAATTATCATTCGACTAAGTGTGATTGGTAGGACGTCGGAAAATCTTTTTCTTTTACCGCGGTATACTTAAAGTAGAATTTCAGTTCAACCACTAAACTTTTAAAAAATACTTCCCTCTCAATACAAAATTTATCCTACAAACATTCAATATTATGAAGAATTAAACTGATTACCTACGTAGAAACAATTAAAAAATTTTTTTTTTTATTGTGATTGATGGGACAAGTACAAAATATCTACATCAAGTTTTTTATTAAAAGGACTTTTATATTATTTCAAGCTTAGAAACATTGTTGTTCGTATATTTAACTATAAATTATGTATGATAATTAAAAAAAACTAATTAAAAGACACAAATAAAGGATTTAGCATGCTGACAACACGATCTTGATAAACTTAGGTGTTAATTAATAACGAACATAAACAAAATTTGTTCTTAAAACAATTAAAACCACATTTGACCCGGATACAAGTTAGTACGGCTGAAAAGTTACTAGGAAAGAAAAATTGATTTTCTTATTAATTAAAAAAAATTTTCTTTACAAATTAATAAAATATAGACTTTTAATAATAAATTAGGACTAAATTAAAATGAATTAGAGAAATTTTAAAATTTTAGTCATTTTTCTATTTCGCATGGAATGTATTTATTTACTTACTTTTCTCTCAAACCACGATAAATTGGATACACTGTACTGAAATCTACCGAGTAAATGATTTAGAACAGCATCATCAGGGCTCAACTCTAACCCCAATTTAACATGTTTCTCAAATTCTTTACCCGCTGATAATTTTTCCTTCGTTGGCAAATATTCAGTACGTAAGCCAACGAGTAACGCGTAGTACTTATGGAGTTCAACGTGATTATTGTCAAGAAATTTCTGACAAGATTTAATACCTATAAGAACATCAAGTAGATAAATTTATTGATTAATAAAGCAAGGGATAAATTATTTATAAATATACCTTCTTGTAAAAGAGTTTCTTGTTCATTAGTATCAGTAAGTAAAGAAGCAGTTTTAAAGTAAGCTCTTGCCAGTCTCCAAGCCACTTCGATATTGTCGTCATGCCAAAGTGCCAACGAACGCAGTTCGTCGAGCACCACATCGTAATTTTTCTCTTGTTCATATTTCTGATCCAGCTCGGCCAATTTTTCAAACAACGGTAACATTAATCTTGCTGTCCTACATCACTAAAAATATATCATCTTGTTCTTCATGTTTATTAATTCATTAAAATAAAAATAAAAATTCGCAAAATAAAATATTAGCAAAAAAATGTATTTTATTTTTATTTCAATTCTCTGATAATTGTTTTTAAAAAACTAACCCATTCTCAAGTTCTTCATTAGCTACTTCATCATCGGAACAGTCATAAAACTCATCATCAATGTCTGTTTCGGTAACTGATAATCCATCATTTTCATTATCTGTTTCATTTGTTGGTGAATAAATACTATTTGCTGATGGCAATCTTTTTCTTAAATTTTTAGATTTCTTAATTCGTAATTTTTCTTGCTGTGCTCTAAAATTATAATTATAATTTATATTATATTATAAGTAATTAATTTTTTAATTATTTAATTAAGTGGGTATTCTGGCCTAGAAGCATGAAATTTCAGGTAATTTTTGAAGTGACGTAAAAAAAAAAAGGCAATCAATATTTTAACCATCCATTTTTTATAAGTTATTTATTAACATTATAAGAATACAGAAAAAAAAATTTAAAAAGTTGAAAATTCGAAAAATTACCAGCTGATGAAGTGGGGGGTCTCAAAAAATTGACACGTGACTATATCCACAATTCTAATCCTCCTAGCAATCGGAAACAAAAAAATAAAAAAGATTATTAATCTAGAGTAATGTCACTATGATTGGAATTACGGAAAAGTTGAAAAAAAATTTTTTCACAAAAAAAAAAAAAAAAAAAAAA